TTCCGGGATTGTCCTCTGGAAGCTTGGGAGGGAGGAGGCTGTAGAGCCCTGGAGACTCAGAGAAAAGGCCCAGGAGAAAGAGAACAGGTGCTCCAGCACCGCAGCAGCAGGTAACACCTGGAGATAGGGATCGCTGGGAGTGGCTGCCTGTGTGCAGTCGGCCAAGAATCTAAAACGCCATTGAATTTTAGGTTGGCAACTCTTTATACAGTTTTTGGTGGTTCCCCCTCTGTTATTCTGAAAACTTCAGTAAATGCATTTTGCACACATGTTGCGGGGGTGGGGGTGCGGTTAACTGGTACTTTGGGGGAATATAGAAGGAGCTAGTCCATGCCTAGGGAGAAGCAGGGAAGCAAGCTAGATAATTGAGAATTCAAAAAGCAGGAAGTTGTAAGTCTCCCTGAGAATTTTTGGAAATGTTGAGAGGGACATTGAACTTTGAATTATATATGGATTGGGGATCAATCCAGTGAATTTGGTTACCAAAGGCAAAAGTTATCCTCAGAAAACTGAAGTGCTTTTAAAATACCCAGTTTATATTTTCCCAAAAGAAAATGTGATAACACTTTGCTTTGGAAAGTCAAGGAAGACTTCTGAGAGGAGAAAGACAAAGGAGCTGGGCATTGAAAGATGAGTAGGAGCGTCTTAGGTGGACAGACAGAGATAAGGTAGGTGGGATAAAAATACATTCCAGGCACCTCTTGTTTCAGATTTTTATAGGGGTTCCCTTATGTAAGGATGACTGATTAAATCATTGGCCATTTGTGATTAACTCAATCTCCAGCCTCCCCCCTCAGTCTTCTCTCCCACCGGGTCAGAGGATGGGCTGAAAGTCCCAACCATCTAATCACATGGTTTGTTCCTCTGGCAACTAGCCACATCCTGAGGTTCTATAGGGCCCACCTAAACTGCCTTATTAGCGAAAACCCAGGTATGGTTGAAAGGCAACAACATGTGTAAAGGTCCAATGTATATTAGGAATTGTGCCAAAAAACCCAGTGAGTCTGGAGGATAGAGTACCATAAAAGGAAAAGAGATTAGAGTAGCAAGCAAGAGATGACTCCAGGCTTTGTATGCCAGGCTACAGAGCTTAGATTTGACAATGGAAGCTCCTAATTCCCAAACTAATATATGACTACCCACTGGTTGGCTAGAGCTTATAGAAAGATACAAAAGAATGGGGCTTATTTCTCTGGAACATAAATTTTACATATAGACATTAGGAGAAGGACATGCTTTTTAAATGAAAACAAACATATTTTACAGTAAAATTCAAAATTTGCATGATTTTTTAACATAAAAATAGGGTTTCAAATAAACTTTTTTGACTTATTCAAAGCTGCCTTGCCACGTTCTCTGACATGAGAAAAACTTGGATGATACTACCAGTATAGGCGACAAGAAGCTTCAAGCAGTACAGTAAGCCAATCAGCAATTATATTTGGTTTTGTGTTGTTCTTATTTTATGTGTTTCCATTTTATATCTCCCCCAAGTTTGATTTTGTTGTACTTAATAACATGGGAAGAGGAGAGAGAGAGAGAGAATGAGCGTGACAGGGAAAAAATGGAGGATGGGTATATATATATGCTACTGGCTGGCTGCCCAGGCTGGGCTTCATGGGACGTCTGTCCTTTGGCGAAGTTTCAATAAATCTTTGGTTTGCTTGGGCCCCAGCTTTGCTGTTCAAGATCTGGGTTTTGATCGCGTCACCAGTTCACCCATGGTAGAGCAGATCCTAGAAGGTCTTTTCAATATATATTTAGAGGATCCTCCCTATGAAGACCTATAAAGATCTTTCCTTCACACCAGGTGATAAAGATTGTTCTTTCTTCTGGGACCAAGGAACATTAATATTCCAGCTACCGTTCTTAAGCCAAGTAGATCTACAGTTACACTGTCTTTTCCTACAAGATAGCAACATGTTTGATCAGAGGGAAGATAAGTGACATACAAATTCCTGCCTGAATTGCCTTTGTTTAAAAATCCTGATCCCTAAAATATTTATATTTGGTTCTGATTCTGATGGACTCTGTCTGCATGAGGCTGATCGTAGCCTTGCAATGGGTGTAGACTAGCGAGGCTAGTGAATGGACAGGGGGCAATCCCTTCTGCAGAGAAAGGTCTAAAGAGTCAAGACTCTTCTTCCATTTCCTAGAGCTCTAGCTCAGAAATTCCCTGCGAAGTCTGGCTTTTGGCTCTGGGCATCCCCTCTGTTGTTTACCTGAAAACACAAGTGGAGCCACGCTAGCTCAGGGCCTCAGATGCTTAGGAGACTGGGACACACTTTGGATAAAGGGTTGAACACACTGTGGGTCTTATTAGTTTGGGCATTGCATTGGAAAGGGGGTGGAAAAGCTTATGTATCCCTTCAATTGATTTCTGTCTCCTTATGCCCTGAAATGTTCACCTTCTGGTCATTTAAAGAATCGAAGTATATTTTAGAAGGGGCAGAAGAGGGGTCCCTAATGTTAGCAGACCCTGATATACCCCAGCCCTCCCTGCACCCTATGCATTCACAAGGTTGTGTGGTAAACCTAGAATTACAGCCAAGACAACTGGATGGCTCCATGACACATTTTCCCTCCAACTGCAGTGGTGGAGCTGATTATGTCTGCCTCACGCAGTGGCTAACCTCTCTAGCTATGCTGGATTCAACGGGGCTCTTCTCTACATGGGACAACCATGAACACTCCTCATTTTTTGGCCTTCTTTCTATATTGCCCGGATAATGACCCCTTTCATTATAAAATGACTTCGGGGACATTAAAATGAAGGAGAGCACATATTCTCTTCCATTAACTGCATTCTAACATCCTCAGTGAGATTTGGGGAATTCCAAAACCCCTAAGAACCACGAAGGTGCCAATTTCTACTCTTTCTCTCAAATTCTGGTGTCTCTGGCTCTTTACAGAGTGACTACTGTTTACGAACCCAATGAAGGCCAATGCTGTCTTACAAAACAGATGAAAGTACGCACAACATACTAGTTTCGCAATAATTAAACACCTGTTGATTAATTGATGCTTGATCGGTGATATGACCAAAGGAATCGCCTTTTAGAAAAAACTGCTTCCTAATAAAGTCCTTCAATAACTAATTCCCCTTTGCCAGTGCTCAAGACCCTCTGATGCTGAGCAGAGAAAACAGCTTTTAGTGAGGTCCCAGAATGCTAAGTCTGAGATAACTTTGTCCTTCCACACAGTTTAACGGCTCTGTGCAGGGGCAATGGAGTAACTATCTGGGTGCCCCTTGACATTGAGAGATCTAAAGGAATTTTTTCCTTTCCTCTAAAATCTGTGATCAAAGAAGACCTAAGGGTGTCAAGAAGAAAAACAAGCTAACACAATTTGTATTGAATTTTGAAAAATCTTTCCCTGTAGCCATGGGTAACTGGATAAGGAAACACTAAACAAGTCCCTTTGGGGATATTACATGGTGGTATTCAATTTTATATTCTGCCTCTTGCATTAGGGATTTCTTCAAGATACAGACAGGCTCTGAGAGACAGACATATATAAATAGAAGCATTGCTCAGTGATGAGATTACCCTTGGCTATAAGGCAAAATTACTTCTAAATAGATCATGGCGTTTAAAAAAAAATTCTGGTTTCAGTGCTCTAAGAGCATAAGTATTTTAAAGGTTATGCATAATGCTCCAAAGAGTCACATGTGAAATCACTTCAGATATAGAAGGAAATTGTGACGATGAACATACTCGATTCACCTTTTTTTGACAGAGCAACAAAATTCCCTCCAACACTCCCTACACTCACTCCCCCACCCAGATCTAAGAGCAACAAAGGGTAGTTTTGATTTCTTGCGCCAAGAGATATGGAAGAGAAACATTACATGATTAGTTAAAATTTCCTTCATTGGGGAATAAGGCTCCTATGCAACCAGAAAAATCAGAACTCCCTCTGTTAGCACGCTATGTACTTAATTAGGGTCTGAACTGTCAATGTTCAATATGCTAATTATATGCTTAAGAACACTGATTATAATTTTTAATCTATCACTCTGCTGGATATGGCACCTTCTGGATATATAATTACATATTCAAGGGATCTAAAATACTCTCAGGTTGCCTTTTTCCCAAGCAAATCACATCATTCATGTTAACATAATTTTTGCCTATCAAAATTTTTGTTAACAAAAACATATTGGGATTTCTTCTCCATCTATGCCAGAAATTTTCAGACACATCCCTATTTCTTCGTCTGAAATAGTCATCATTTTTTTTTTCTTTCATCTAAGGGAATTTTTCTTTTCCATCATGCAGAATAATGTCCCCAGAGACCTCAAAGCTGTAAAAGGAGTTCCTTCCCTGGTGAGGATAGAAGGGAAGAAGACTAACTGGAGAGACTAGTTATCTCTAGTCTATACTATGACTTCTGGAAATTCTAGGATGCCTGTTCTCACAGTCCCTGGGATTTAAAGACAAGCATAAATGTAAACATGACACTTAACAGGCTCCACACCTCCCCCTGCTCCCAGTAATATATATTTCAGATAAGCCAGGATTCCTATATTCTTATTAACCATTTCATATCACCCTTCTGTGGGAACCACCACTAGAGCTTGTCCCTAGACGGTGCCCTGAACCCAGATCCATGACATCTCCATGGTCTGGAGAGACCAGAGTGTGGCATGAACTGACAGCATAATCATCATGACCTCTAACTCTCTGAGGCTTCCATTCCATAAAGGGAGGGAACATTCTTCTGACTCAGTCACCAAGAGATACCAGGCAGGTTTCTGTATCGCAGCTGATGGGTGCTCTCCTCAGGCTTCCCACGTCCCTCCCCAGTGGGCATATCATGCCTAGAGGCTAAACCTCTAGGATGTTTCGAACTGAAGCTTCAGAGGGAGAGGGAATCAGTCACTGGCTGCCTTGCTGTCCACAATAGCAAAAGACAGCAAGGGCTCATGGACCTACCTATGACCTCCCCTGGAATTCCCAGAAATTCTTTGAGCAGAGAAGCTTTGAAAGGAAGATCCTGTGTGAACAGAGGAGGGAGAAGAGCCTTTGAATGGGGCACTGCACTGAAGGGGGTTACATGTTTCCTCAGACTGCCATAGCCTGGACACTTCGGTCCACCGGTAAGGACAAAACAGTGTGACAGGGACTACAGTGGGGATAGGGCCCCAAACACTAGGAAACAGAGAAATAAATAAGGTGAGAAAAACAAGGGCTTGGGGAGCCAGAGAAGAACCGGTGAGGCTTAACTAGGGCAGGAAATGTAGGTAGGAGTAACTCGTCAAGCTGGCTAGGACGCAGGGTGTTCTAGAAAGAGAAAGCAGCTTATGCAGAGGCCCAGAGGAACACAACCAGGTGGGGGGCAGCAGGGGGCAGGGGTTGGAAGGTGGGTCAATATAGCTGGAGCGGTGACAACAGAATGGAGAAGGGGCCACCTAGGGGAGCCCTGAGAGCCATTTCATAGACCATGGACTTTCTGGAAGACACAGAGAGGTACACAGAGAGGTGGTCTTTGCCAAGGCAGAGACAGAGGGGATGAGAAGAGGAGCTACTGAAGGAAAACTTCTCTGAGAAGGAAGAATCACAACAGTATCTTACCTTCCTGGTTTCTGCACACCTACCCAGCTCATTAATCCTACCACAAACCCACCGAGGCAAATCTCACCCATAGTGTTTTACTTCTCCAGAAAGAAATGGGTTCTGGGTGGTTGACTCAGAGGTAGGAAGCTCCCTCCCAGGAAGACATCACATGCCCAGGCTGGTGCTCTTCCCACTGTGCTGCAAAAGCCTGCAACTAATGAGCTTACGGTTTTGAAGCTGCTGACCGCACTCAGTGGAAATGCATGCGATTTGAGAGAAATCCCACTGGCAAAGAGACCAAGTAGAAAGAGAAATTCTCAAGGAAAAAATAGTTCCTTCTGTTGTTCAGAAAATAATTCCACTCTGAAAGCCATTTTTAGAATGGCTAAATAACCAAAGAATTACATGAGAGATCTATTTTTATCTTGTGGGGTAAACAAATTTATTTAAATATTATATTTTATTTTCTATATTTCCATATGTAGGCTCTATTTTTACTCAAAGATGTTATTTGGAGAAATACATTTATATCTTACTGCCTTCCAGAACATCTGATAGATAGATAAAAGTTGAATTAGCCTCCAAAATTCTGAAAAGGGGAATCTCTATACCTGTTTCTCCTTGGAACAAGCAATATTAAGATAGCTAAATAAGTTAAAAAGTCATTTATCTACCTAAAATGTGTATGCACTGTAATGAAACGGTTCTGTGTTCTGCCAGTTAACTGAGGGTGTTTTATCTGGGAAACACCTAGAGCCATCACACCAAAGAGGAGCAAACAGTAAAAAGTTTTATCATGAACACATGATCTTTGAAGAACAAAATCTACTCCCTTGGCAGTGATCAAAAAGGAAAAGTGTGGGAGTGTTTCCTTCAAAGGAGACCTTCAGGTAATTGCTCTCATGTGGTTAACAGCAGCTCATTTAACCCCTGAGGGCTGTCCAGGGCTGTGCTAACCAGCAACACACTTCCTTATCTGCAGTTTCCTTCTGCACACGTAGGATCATTAGTGGATGGAAAGCAGGAGAAGATACCTAGATGGCAGATGGCGGCGCATAGATGGTATCTGTGAGCTGCTGGTTGTTGTCAAAACTCTAACAAAATCCCTTCCCAAGGACGGGCCACATTCCTTTTGTCTTGCGCCGAAACTATGGAATTGACGATCACAATATATAAAACTGAGTTCTTAATACCCCAGCCAAATCTGTTCTTCCTCTGGTCTTTCCCAGTTTCATAAATGTCACTTCAATTCACCCTGGCACTCCTTTCAGTAGGCATTCCTTCACCCTTCACATTCAACCCACTATCAAGTCTCCAATCCATCCATAATCTCAAACCACGTGGACCACCCTAGTTCATGACGCCTGGTCACCGCAGCCTTGGAGAGCTGCAAGAGCCTCCCGTGAGTCCCCCCACTTCTACTCTGACCTTCTCTACCCCTCCCCACCCAGCAGCTACAGTGATCTTCCAATGCAAATGAGAAATTACAAGTTCCTCAGGTTTCCCTTTGCTCCTAACACCCTGTAGTATGTCCTACAATACATCCAACTTGAGGTCTGGCCCAGGCCCTTTCTCCAGCTTGACCTCACACCTTTCTTCCCCACAATTCCTTTGCTTCCAAAAATATGCCAATGAATTTCTCACTTCCAGGTCTTAGTACATGCTGTTCCCTTTACTTGGAGTGTTCTAATCCTTGCTCTTCACCTGGCTAACTCCTACCTCCAACGGGTCTCAATGAAAATATCCAGTTTTACCTGACCCTTCAATCTTAATTTGATTCTAAATTATGGCATTTTTTTCCTCAGTGCATGTAGTTTTTCTTGGCACTTAACAGCAGTTTGAATCTACCCATATTTGCCGTGTGTTTATCTTTTTAATGTCAATGCCTTCTACTATCCCGTAATCTTGGTGAGAGCAGGAACCAGGTGTGCCTTTCTGGTTCACCTGTTTCCACGGCCCATAGCACAGAGCCTAATACATAGTAAGTGCTAAGAGCTATTCGCTGAATGTATGGATGAACAGATGAGCAAAGCCAAGGCTTACGGATATTTTTACTACACAGAGAGTTTTCATTTCATTTAAAAGGCATTAATATTGAACTCCATTTTGTTAAGATCAGTAGAATACAGAGAATATACAGTTGAGTTAAACTGACTTGTATTCAAATACTGCATATACTATTCAGTAGCTGGATACCATGGGGAAGTTTCTTCCCTCTCTGCATCTTGGGATTTTAAACTCCAATAGTAGAAATAGCATGACCTATTTCATAGTAGGTTGAAAGTGCCTTCTGGTTTTTTTCTCACAACATTATCGTCCTTTCCAATTTTTCTATTGTTATAATTAGAAAAGAACAAAAGTATTATTTTAGAAAATGCCTAGTTCACAAAATGCCTAGCTCACAAAGTCATTATGAAAATTATCAATTAACCAGTGATTCAAATAATGTATTATCTAATGCTGAATGAAAAAACATAAATGTGAGGGTGCCTGGGTGGCTCAGTCAGTTAAGTATCTGCCTTCAGCTCAGGTCATGATCCCAGGATTCTGGGATCAAGTCCCACATTGGGCTCCCTGCTCGGTGGGGAGTCTGCTTCTCCCTCTACTCCTCCCCCCTGCCTGTGCTCTCTCTCTCCTGCTCTCTCTTTCAAATAAATAAAATCTTTAAAAAAAAATAAATGTGATATAAAACAACGACAATATTGGTTATTTCTCTGTAGCTCTGGAATCAGGAGTGGCACATCTGAGTAGTTCTACTTCAGGTCACTCATGAGGTTGCAGGCAGATACAGCCAAGCCGTGGTCATCTACAATCATCCAGTTAGAGCTGGAGGATCCACTAGCTCACTCACATGGCTGGCAAGTTGATGCCAGCTATTGGTTGGGGGCCTCAGGTCCTCCTCTTTCTTTCTGCAGAGCTACTTGAGTGTCCTCACAGGCTGATGGCCGGCTTCCCTCAAGGTAAGGAATCTAAGAGGCCAAAGCAAAGTTGCAATGCCTTTTATGACTCAGACTTGGAAGTCACACACATTGTTGCTCCCACCATATTCTATTGGTCACATGGAGTCAGCCCTGATTCGGTGTGAGAAGAGACCCCACTGGAGCCAGAATACTGGGAGCCATACAACATTTGAGAGCCTGACTTCCATAGACAAAAACCTTTCCCACTTTCTCCCTACAAGATCCCCATAAACTTCTACCACTGTGTGTGATGTGTGACATTGGAAATTGCTAATTGTGGTGTGTCTGGGATTGTTTTCTTTTTAGTACTAGCCTTTTGTCATGCTGCTTCAGGTAGAGCAAAATGAGTGTCCTTTGTATATTTTCAAGGATATACCTAAATCAATTTCATATTCTTTCCAAAGTCGTTTCTTGTTTAATTTGCTTTATCCAACATCTCCGCATGCCACCATCTTTGTTCATATTTAAACATTTTAGATAAAATTCATCATTTGATGATGACAATGAGAGTGATTACACATCTCAGATCACTACTCCTTGATTTCAATGTAGACAAAGGTAATTTAACTAACAATATCTTTGTAACTGTTATTCTGATGTGGAAGCTGGAAAGTGGAATGTGTAAACATGTAATAGGAAAGCCTAACACCTTGGTCCCATATCTAATGACATGTCATTGACTGGAATTAATTGAAATTCTTGAACTCTCTCCTTATTTATCCCCATTACTAAATAAAATTGATAAGAATAGTCCTCACCTTACAAGCATAAATAGTAGCGTCTATGCTAAGCACACATAGAACACTCGGTTTCCTCTGGAGATGGGAACTAGCTGTCTGGGGAAAAGAAGTGAGAAGAAAAATACATATTTTCACTGTATGCTCTTTTGTACCACCTGATTTTTAAACCATTGAATGTAATATCTAGTCAACATCAAAAAAGTTATTTAAAATTATTGGACAATTCAACTGTTCATCAATAGAAGACGGTTAAATAAACCAATTTCCTATCCAAAAAATGGGGTCTTAGTTAGGTGAAAAAGGAATGAGGCACATCTCTATACAGTACTATTAAATGAGCTTCAGGATATATTGCTAAGTGAAAAAAAGCAAAGTATAGAAAAGTATGCTTAGATAAAACTGCACACTAAAATATAATAAAATTTAATAAATAAAATATATTATCTAAAATATAATAAATAGGGGCACCTGGGTGGCTCAGTCAGTTAAGTGTCTGCCTTCAGCTCAGGTTATGACCCCAGGGTCCTGGGATCAAGCGCCGCATTGGGCTCCCTGCTCAGCAGGGAATCTGCCTTTCCCTCTCTTACTCCCCCGTTTGTGCTCTCTCTCTTTCTCTGTCGAACAAATAAATAAATAAATAAAATATAAAATTAAAATACAATAAAATTACAGAGCAGTGGATGGATACCATAGTATTTTTAAAATAATGGTTATCTGTGGAGGAAGGAGGACCTGGGTGAAGGTAGTAGGGATGGAAGCTAGACTTTTTTGAATATTTTTAGATTTGACTTTGAGACCCTGAAAGTATTTTGCATAATTATAAAACCAAATTTAAGTTTAAAAAGTAATCCCTAAAACTTTAAAGTGAAATGGAACAAATGAACCCATGGGCCCAATTGTTGGTACAACCACACAGTAAGGAACGCTTTTGAGTGACATCAAAGCAGAATTCCCTGAGTGTGAACTGGAGCCAGCCAGCAAGGGCTCTCCAAAACTGTGTATGTCTCTTCCCAACTCGGCATCCAGTGATGCAGAGTCCATAGCTTGGAGGCAGCCACTCGAGGGTATTTGTACTGTGGAAATCAGCAAATGCTACAAATCAGTCTTCTGCTTATTTTGGTTTTCCTGCTTCTTTGTTCTTGGAATACTGACTGTTAAACATTTACCAGCACACCACTCAATTTATCTGTACATACCTAGAGACCAAAATAATTACAAAACAAAATTAAAATTACCGCAAATTAGCTTCAATAATCATGGTGTTGGTGTAGTGTCGGTGTTGTTATTCTGAGATTGTCTTGTGAGCAGTACAGGATAAACAAATGAGTCATTATGTTGCTATTGTTAAGAACTGGGATTTTGGAGAGTGGGAGAAAGAAGATAGGAATGTAAGGGATTGAGTAAAAGCCCTCTGTATTGAATTTCATTTGGGAGTATCAGTGTGAACACATGATGAATTTTACTTTATCTAGCATAATCATAGCAATGGAATCAGCAAAATCCAAACTGTGGGAACTCTGAGGCAAACTACACAATTTCTTCAACAAAAACAAAAGCAAAAAAAAAGAAAAACAAATAGAAATGGAGGAGGGTATTATTGATTAAAAGAGATGTAAAATATATTTAACCAATCTCATTGTATGAACTTCTTTGGATCCTGATTCATACCAAAAAAAAAAAAAAAAAAAAAGGAAAGAAGGAAGAGAGAGCATGTGAGCAAAAGAGAATTCCTGTGACAATTATGGAAACATGAAAAAAAGCTGAACATCTGGGGATGCCTGGGTGGCTCAGCTGGTTAAGCATCTGCCTTTGGTTCAAATCATGACCTCAGGATCCTGTGACTGAGCTCCGCATCAGGCTCCCTGATCAGCAGGGGAGTCTGCTTCTCCCTCTCCCTCTGCCCTTCCCATCTGCTTGTGCTCTCTCTCTCTCAAATAAATAAAATCTTAAAAAAAAAAAAAAAAAAAAAACAGGGACACCTGGGTGGCTCAGTCAGTTAAGCTTCTGCCTTCAGCTCAGGTCATAGACGCCAAGGTCCTGTGATCAAGTCCCACATCAGTCTCCTTGCTCAGTGGGGAGCCTGCTTCTCCCTCTGCCTCTGCCCCTCCCCCTGCTTGTGCTCTCTCTCTCTCTCTCTCTTTCTCCCTCTGTCAAAATAAATAAATAAAATATTTGAAATAAATAAAATAAAATAAAAAATGAGAAAACAAATGAGAAAACTGAATATCTGATGTTATTAAGGATTTTGTGTTGGTTTTGTGTGATGATTGTATTGTGATTATGTTTTAATAGCATAGTCTTTGTCTTTTAGAAATACTCCCAAAATATTTACATA